CCCCCCCCCCCCCCCTCCGCCCCCCCGTGGGTTCAACTCCCCCCTCGGACGCCTCTGGGACACCTCTCGGGCATCTCTTATGGCATCCACTTTGGCTTAACTCCTCCGAGATACGGTGCAACAGATTCAACAAGCTCACATGTTCATGACATCGACATCGATAGAAGAAACCAAACAAATCATGCAAGCAGCTTTGTTTTGCCTCTGGGACACCTCTTGGGCACCTCTTATGGCATCCACACTGGTTCAACTCCTCCGTGGAGGTTTTGGGATATGGTGCAACAGATTCAACAAGCTCACAGGTTCGTGACATCGACATCGATAGAAGAAACCAAACAAATCATGCAAGCAGCTTTGTTTTGCCTCTGGGACACCTCTTGGGCACCTCTTATGGCATCCACACTGGTTCAACTCCTCCGTGGAGGTTCTGGGATACGGTGCAACAGATTCAACAAGCTCACAGGTTCGTGAACACATCGGATGCATCGAACAGTGTGGCAAAGTCCAGCCACGCTTCCTTAATTATCGGGGACTTCAATTCTAAGGTTGGCTGTGTCATTGCTGTTTGTGTGTCTTACATGTTCACAACGTTTTACCTCATGAGCATTTGCCTCACTCCGCTTGATGTCCCACCAGTCCGGATGCACCCCTGCTAGCTTTCGTCACCTACCCTCGGCCTCAAGTTCAGTCTCCTCCCCAAGCCCTGGTGCTTTCTGAGGCGACTGCCAGGTCGCCTGTGGTGGAAGCTTCACCTCCACCTGCTACTATGTCCAGGACCCACCAAAACCGTCTTCGCTCGACTCCGTCGCCGAAGGTCCTCGCTCGGCTTCCGAGGCGCCTCGAGGAGTCTTGGATCCACCTCGGAGGATGGGACGCGGCCGACCGACGGTGGAACATGTTCGTCGGTGCCGACCGACGGCCTCGACGGCCTTGACGGCCTTGACGGCCTTGACCAAGAAGATGTATGGTGAATGTCTTGGTACTGTCGAAGTGACTGCCACCTGCCACGCTGATCAGTGCTGTGGATAGCACCTACCCGAAGAGGCAACCTGACCTGCGCTACACTCCGCTACACTGCTACACATGATGCGGATCCGATGGCAATGATCTTGGTTTGATGGTTCTAACATGTTCTAACAGCCCGTGGAAGGCCTCACCATAGGCCCCAGCTCGTGAGCCTTGGGCAGTGCTGCTGAAAGCTGTTCATTTCCACAGGGACCATGCTTGTTTGTTGCTGTGGCCGCGGATGGTCTCTTCAACGAGTTGCTCGAATTCGCAAAACGCACTTCACCGCGTTAGCGGCGCAAGTTTTTGCCCGAAGAGGGCTTTCAAGGGTGAACAAGTTTAAACAGCAATATGTTGAACTATACATTATATATACATTCCCTGAATCATTGAAGTCGAACATCACCTGTTTGTAGAGGAACATGATTATCCAAGGGGCCATTGTCCACTTTATGCAAACAAGTTCTGTGGTCCACGGAATTTAAATGCCCGGAGTGAGAGGAGAATTCTGTGGTCCTCATTGCCTTGACAGCCTCAGGAGGTCGGGCCTCAAATCAAACCAGTTGAGGTCTCAGATGCAAAGGTCAAGGCATTTGCAAGTGTTCAAAGCAGTGTGCTTCTATTTACTTGGTACATCGCATCTTGGCACCTCAGAGTTTCCATGCCCCATGCATCGTCCTGGTGCCTTGTTCGGGAAAAAGAACACATGATGCAGAAATATGCAGAACATGGCTGCTGGATCTTCAACAGGTTCTGAATGCTGCACATTCTATGCTGCCATCAGCTTTCACTGGCCTTTCAGATGGTTGTGTAACGTTGCCAACGCATGCCTTATGATGTAGCTCACCCTCTTCTGTTGTCACCTGCGGTTAAGAACCGTTTTCAACGTGGTCATTCGGGGCACATGCTGTTAATCGAGCCCCTCCTTGCATTCGATCCCTGGCTCGTTGGATCTCAGGGATGCTTCCTCATGTTGTTTCTTTATACAATCCGGGCCTGAAGCGTCATCACCTCACATGAGTTGCCTTTCCAAAGCGAATCTCACGCCAGGTCAGATCAGCTTGAAAATGGTTTGACAAATTCTGCTCAACTCACCTTTGCTCATTCACCATAGGATCCTTATTCCTTTTGAGCCACAACTTGGGACAGCAAGTGAAGCCATGCACAACACGCGTAGCAACCTGTCCAGGTAGCCAAAGTTTTGGGTGGCTTGTGGTGGCTTTCGGGTTTCTAAAGTCAATTGCGCATCTATGGTACCTAACCTGTCCCCATATTAAAATATGAACCCCATAGGTGTTCCAACAAGATCAGAGGAGTGCAACAACTTTGTGTTGAAGTTGGATGTTTGGAGACGCGAGGCTTCGGGGGAACTCGCCCGGTTTGTGGGGAATGGGTTGATGTGTACGAACCGTTCCCCTTATTCCAATCTTATTATATATTTATACGTACTGTATACATTTTAAACATATTCCTTCTTCCTCGCAAGTGTTTATTAAGCCATTAAGGTTACCTGTTCGTGAAGCAGTGCCAGGACACCAAAGGGACGGGCACCGCTTGCATCACCGACCCTCCTAGTGATGCCCTGGGAAGTGGCTTGGATGGGAGCGGCCGTCGGTCCGGATCCCAACCGCACTGGTTGGTTCAGCATCCCAAGCTGCGATGGAAAGATGGATCGAGCGTCGGTTCGTCCGCAAAGAGATGTTTCGAAAAGAGTCCCCCCAACCAGAACATGGAAAACAACAGGCATCGATCGAGCGAGTAATTATATCTATTTGGGAGACCTAGCTGCAAGATGTGGCAGCTGTGGTGGTTCATGGCCCAAGTATCCCTGAAGAGAAGAGGGCAGCTTACGCCATTCTCAACGGAGTTATAGTATGATTGCCAAGTTGTTTTTGCTCTCGGATGCTTGAGGATTCCACGACGTGCACCAACTCGGATAAAAAACAGCAGACCATCATCGGTCCTCCTAGTTGATCACACAGGGTTGGGATATGTTGGTTCTCCCATGTTCACCCTTTGACATAATCCCAACAGCCTGGGGGTACAGCCTGGGGGGCGATTCCTCACCTGGAGTGACAGCGGTGACTCGCCCGTCACCAAACCTTGGTCCTGATGCGATGACGAGGTCGAGTGTAATGCATAGTTATGGCCGGGCCATGGTTTAAATTCTGCAACACCAGTGAACTTCCAAGTTTCCGCAAGAAGTTCGCAGGAGTTTTCCGTCCCCATCCGTCCCCAAAACACCCAGTACATGCTGGACTGAACCGACCATCATGGTCGGAAATCCAACGGTTTCATCTCAAACCGTGGAGCCGAGATCTCGTCGGTGGACGGTCTGTAGGCACGACTTGGGAGAAGTGCGTTGGGCAGAAGGCATTGACTGGTGCTTCGGCAACTTGGCACCATCATCAACGGTGGACGGACGAGACGAAACAAAATCAACCAAAAAGATGACGTGTCATCAGAAACCAATAACTTGCAAGTCATCTTAAATTAGATATACTGTAATTAAATCCTATATAACTATACATAGCTATGGATCAAAGCCTTGATGACTTGCCATCCATGGACAAATATATTGAGATTGAATGAGATTGACATCAGAGACCAAGTTCCAAGATGGATGGCGCTTGGACCCCTTTGATTGGACTACTTGCAGACCCCCTCTGGCTTCAAAACCATCCTTGTTAATTTGGTAACCTATGGTAACCTTCCATGAACATGTTCGCATGGACTTGGATGTTTGTAAAGGACACACCATCCCAATCATCACTTGAATGTGAGTCCTCTCAGGACCTGAGGACATGCCTAAGTGCCTACGATGACTAATTGTCAAATCTTTTTGATCCGGAAAGCAATTTCACCGGGCACCTGTGCTGAATGGGAACACCGTGCCGAATGCACTATGGCTGAACCCTGCCCGGCGGTGACATGAGATTCTCTTGGGCTGAGAGAACCTGTGCCGGCCCAGGACCCTGTGGAAGAGACCGACCTCAGTGCATTGCTGAGTACAATGCCAAATACCATGGTCTAGGGGTCGGACCATGTCTCCAGACTTTCCAGTTCAGTCAACACCCAATGCTCGGCACTTTTTGCAGACCCAAGGGGGGGCACCGCCGGCACCGCCTCTCGCTCGAGGTTACAAGTGCCACTTATGAGCTGCTCCAGTGCGGCTCCTTCAGCACCGAGCAATGTGGTTGGGCACCTCGATGTGATTTATGAGCTGGGGTGCTTTGTGCGTTTCGGTACAATTCTAGAACCGGAGTGCTTTGTTCTGATCTTTGGACCACCAACACGAAAGATTATGTTTTATCCGTGGCCTATCTATATGAAGGGATCCATTTTAGGGTTGTACAGTTGTACAGGCAAAAATAACATATTTCATAATATTTCCGTAATATACTTTGGGCAGTACTTTGGGCATCTAAACTTGAAACCTATATGACATCCTAATGTCCTGTTCGATGCTCGTGTTCCATGTCAGATATAGGTTCAATATGAGTTCATCGTGATTTGATCGGTGCTTCATTCAGGTCACAGAAGCTTGACCGAGGTAAAATGTTCAAATTCATGACCAGCTGAGCAAGGTTCTTGGAAATCCAGGTCTTGGAAAACCTTCGGTAACGTCATATGACGGAAATTCTTAGTAGTTTCAGGTCACTCCCAACTTCCTCCGCCGAACAAAGAGGTTGGGGCCAATGGGCCGATATAGCTGACCACCCAGGCAGCCGAGACCTTCTCGGACATGCAGTGCAAGATCACCCGACTGCAGTGCAAGAACAAGGCCGATTGCAACACAGCCACTCGGCCGAAAAGAGAAGTCAAGGCCAACGAGGAACTGACGACGGGTGCTGGCTAAAGGAACACCAGTGAGTGGGTTTGGTGGTCTCAATGGTCAATCGCTTCACCAGGTGCGTCAAGGTCGGACCCTAAAGACCGCACATGGATGCAAATGGCTATCAACACACTGAATGATTCTCCGGGCAGAGTACCTCGGAAAGTGGGTACAAGTACCTGTAGTTACTGTAGTCAAAGGATAGGGTCATGTCCCATTTTCTGTACTTCCAGGTATGTACACATGCTCCCCCTCACCGTCCAGTGCACCGGTCGACTTGAAAGATCGAACAGGCAGGGCGCTGCGAGTACGAAGCAGATGATTGGCAGATCGAAGAGAACGGGGGCCTTTGCGTCACCCCGACCAGCTTCAGCCGCTGGGGTGCTGTCAGTGCTGGTAAGAGTTTTGGGGGGCTTTTGAGCCAGAAAACTGAAGAAGTGAAAAGCCTGGCCAATCACCATTGCTGAGTATTGGACTGTTTTCTGAATCCAGCAGGATATATACTAAAATAAGAATTGTAATATATCTATAGCAGTACTGTAATACTGTAAGATGCCAGATCACTTTCACATTACGACACTGAATGACAGGACAATATATAGTACGTTCTCGATATACATTCTCGATGCGCAGCATATCGCGTGCATACCGCCCCGAAAACACACATGACAATGATTCTGTTATGCTCCAGGCTCTCAGGTATGTACACGGACGATTGAACACCAAGGATAAACATAGCTTTGGACCCTCCGGAAATGTCCACTGCCCGGATATCCATGTCGCTGCTCACCTTGGTTTTTATTGTTAAACAGCGCGGTTCCAAACACAAAACCTGCTTCTCCAGTTCGTGACCTTTTTGGAGCCCTGACAGTGATCTAAAACCGGGGATGTCAAAAGGCCACGAACTGAAGAACCGGGATTTGGGAACAGCCACGTATTTGTTTTCCTCGCTAGTAGGTTGGAGGCCATCACTAGTAAGTTGGAGGCCATCGCTCTTAATTTGCTCCACAGCTCCCGAAACATCCATTTTGAGAGTTGGACCGGCGATCGACTGGGGCCCTTAAAGCCCACTGAACATGGAACCCAAATCCAAATCACCCGGCGAGATGGATTCATGCCACAACTCGCACAGGGATTTCCAAGGGCTTTTCCCGGAACCCGATGAAGTCGCCGTTGCTCTCCGGTCCAAAGCCGTTGCTCTCCGTTGGACCCCTTTAACCCATGTTTTGTTCACCCCTTGGTTCAGAGGCCAACGGAAGGGTGGGGCGCCGAAAGGGTGTACATGCAATGTTGCAAGGACGGTTTTTGTGCCCGCGCGTTGTTCCACGCTGGAAGGTACGTACAGCCCAGACCCGTGTTCAATCGTTTTCGCCACACACCACACGGCCCTCCATTTGGCCTTCAGAGCCTGACGTGGTCCGAGAATCTGAGACCAATAGACATCACATGGGAGTCTTTTTAGAAGAGGGAGACCCCTGCAGTTGGACCCCTGGGAAGAGGAGAACAACATTAGACTTTCAACCCTCCACATGAATGAGAGGTTTTACAATCCATGTCTGGGGGTGGTTGAAGAATCAAGAGTCTACATGAGACTTGTCGAGTCGATCCTTGGACTAGTGACTAGAGGGTCTCATTCCCCAAAGGTGGCGATTCGCCCTACCAACCCGATCGAGATTTATGGAACGCTGCTCGGCTTGAACGAATGGAGTCGGTTTTGGTGGTTCAGTTGGTTGAGGATTTGGCAAATTAACCTTGGGTTAGAAGGACACAAGGAGACAGGTTTCTGTAGACTGGCAACTGTACATGTTGGGTGCAGGAAAGGTTTCTTTTGGGACTCCCACGGCTCAATCTTGGATATTGTTCGGGACATCCATAACATTCCTTAGTAAACATATGTAAGGGTAAGAAACTCAAAGCTTCTGATTTCAGAGCCGGAAACTGTAATCGTTCAGATGATGGATGGCGCAAGCAAAGGCATATTCATATTCAAGTCCCATTTAAGTCCCCTCACAAAAAGTATTGGAGCAGTATCACAAAAAGCTAAGGGAACATCAAAGTGGACCGGGGTTCCCTGGGCGAGGTTTACAGTGGTTAAGAGGCCAGGAAGTTTTTGCACCGAAGGAAAAGATGGCAATGAAAGCCAAGGGCAGGAAGGCAAGGAGGCAAGAAAGGACATGTGGAGAAAGAAAGGCAAAGAAGGAGGGGAGAGAGGAGAGGAGACAGGAGAGGAAAAATGACAGGACAGGAGAGGAAAGGAGAAGAAAGTAAGGACCTGGAAAGGACTTGAGCAAAGGAGGGATCACACAGGGAAGGAACGTTAGGGGATGACATTCTCTGGTGCTTTCTGTTTTGTGCTCGAGGTAAGGTCTGGTGCGGGTGAAGACTAGAAACTGTCGAGATGCCGATTTGGTTGTGGGATCTCTTGCCCTCTCAGAGTGGGAGAATGAGACTTTGGAGTTGTGTGCGTGGTTTTCGCACACGAAAAAGATCGTTCTCCTCTCTTCATCGTGATAGCAAAACACAGCAATGAGAGGAGGCTCCAGAGCCTTGTTATGTCCTTCTGTAACCGTACCCGTCCCACCCAACAGTAAGTACCAGTCCAGAGTTACCAATCCATATATACAAATCCAGTCCCACCCAAATACAGTGCGTATCAGTCATATCCTTCCTTCCTTCCTTCCTTCCTTCCGTACCCAATATTGAAGGCTCATACGGGCCAACGCTTCCGCTTCCGAACCACTAGACTTTGGTGAGGCGGTCCAGTCTGTCTTTCCTGCGACCCCAGGACTGCTCACAGTTGGGTGGTGAGATGCGGTCCTACGGATGTTGGATGAGGGACATCTCCACCAAGGATGCCTGTCAGCAGGCGCGGGAACGGAGCTCGACCCAAGGCCGCCAAGGCCAGCTGGACGAAACCATTGGCGATGTTCACTCAGGTTTGCTAGATTGACCCATGATTCTGTGGGTGAAATCCATCCATGAGGCATGATTTTGGCCAGTTCCTGGAATTTCAAGACTGGTGTCCCTAGATTTTAGAGCATCTGAATCATAGAAGAAAAATAATGTGCTCCAAAGAAAGAGGCCTGGCCTCCCTGTGAGCTTTAATCACATACCTCCCGGATGGGACACTTGCTTCACACACAAAACGAGTACCAGTACTGGCATGGTGAGTGCCACAGATCCCTGGCTCGAGGGCTTGCACTTGCCTTGAAGAACATACACTTTCCTGAAATGATCAATGGAAGTGAACATAGATGAACCCCCGGGAGCCTGGAAGACCATTTTCCTCGTTCACCAAGTTGTTTTTCTTTCTCGGTCATGAATCAGGGAGCGTATCCGATTTTCTGTCGTCACACATGCGCGTTTGGTTCCTGTCGTGAAACATCAGTCGTGAAACAAATTATTGAGTATTTCATTGCTTTTATATAGATCGATTGATGACTGATGTCACTGATGTCGATGTTTGCTGAAACGAGGTTCAGGACTCTTAACTAGGCCCAACAAGCTCATGTTTGGTTTCTTCCACCAAGACACACTCTCTGGGCGGTCTCCTCCATGGTGCCATGAAAAAAGCGCGAGGCGAGTGCCAAGTGGTTCAATTGGGCACCCAGCAAGTCCAAGTGCGAGGTCCCAGGCTATGCCTGGAAGAAAGGCGACGTCGCACGGGTCGGGTTGTCGCGGTGCTGGGGGCCCGGCGAGCCGGCGGTTCGGGTTCCGGCAGTCCGGCAGAGAATGGTTGCTTTGGTGGATGAAACAAGGATACCAAAAAGTTGGTCTTTTGGACCTTTTCCTCTGTGGGTTTATGAATGTCTATAGTGCCTGGATCAAGTCATGTATCACCCATGCCACTATCTTGCTGTTTTGAGCGGTTCGACGCTTTGGCCTCAAGTCTGTTCGCTGCTGTGGGAACTCTTTACAGCCGCCTGGGTTGGACCAGGGTCACATGGCAGCTCTGAGCAGGGCTGGAACGCCGGGCCCGAGCGATTGTTCAAAGAGCCCTACAGCGGAAGCTGACGGCAATGCTGGACACCAATCCTGCGAGGAAGAACGCAGCAGTGCAGGGCAAATTCAGCAGGTGTTGGCGAAGAACAAGAAACTCAGTTGGCTGGAAGGCTGGAAGGCGAGGCTTGGCAGATGCTCCAAGCAGCAGACAAGGCTGACGCGCTCATTCAAACCGGAGTTGAAAGGACGCGGCGACTCTCCCTCCAGCCCCAAGCGGTAAAGGTGTCTTTGCAACTCTCGACTTGGACACCCAAACAATCGGAAATAAACCAATTAAATGATGATGGTGGTTGTGATTATATATAGCCATTGAGACCTTTGACAGAAGAAGTGGGGACGCTTCGGGAAACATCCATCTTTTTCTGGTTGAGACTGGGTTTCCAGGTATATCCTATTTTGATGTTGCTGTGGCATGGTGTTTAACCTGCGAGGCACTCCTGTCCATGGTTTGCTACAAGAGAATTCGTCGCTGTCAGACGATGTTTATTTTATGTTTTGAGTCACGGTTTATCTGTGGCCAGCCAAATGTTCGGTCTTTGCCTGAATTTCCTCTATGTAAACCCAATGTTAGTATTTGTATATTGTGTGATTTTGGCCTTGCTTCGACAACTGACACCTTCACAACTGACACCGTGCCACCACGTTTCTTCTAGATGTCAAACATTCTGCGCCTTTGAACGACCGCTGGAGGAACCAGTGGCTCCTATGTCCCCGGCACCTTCGCATGTTGCATTCAGGCCTTGGCGGGATGGGAGTCGCCCCGAGTCAAGTTTGCGGAGTTCGAAGTTCGAAGCATAATTTAAGTACGTACTAGAGATGACATATAGATTGCAAGGCTTAATCCGATATACTTTTTTTGGGGGGGGGCGGGGAGGGTAGCTAGCCTCACCTAAGAGAAACGCACCGAAAACACGGCATGATCGCACACCGTAAACCACGGTCGCCCCGGGTCGTGTGGAGTTGTAAGGATTGGATATCGGGCATTTGCGCACGGTGAGCTGGAAGATATGTGGGACGTAGGGCGATGACGCACGGTGGAATTCTGGAATCTCGATGGCCAAGGCGTTCGAGCCTCCGACCAATCCGACCGAGCGCCGTTGGCCTCAATGTACGCGGTAAAAGAAAGACCCAGTGAGAGCAGGGTTTTTGCTAATATGCCTATTTGGGGTCGGTGCCAGTATATGCCTGTGCAGTTGTTGTGTGATAATGATATGCGTTTGTGTTTGTTGTAGTTCTAGTCGTTGTTGTTATTGGCATGTTTGTTGCTGTTGCAAGTATTCTATGTACCGAACACTGGACCCTGGTCACCCTCTTCTTTGATCCATCACGTTCCGAAGGTAAGCTGACCGACCCGTCATTTATCGAGCCCCAAGAAATTCTCCCCACAGCACATCACAGCACCTCATAACAGCCATGGGCCATGGGGGAAGCAAAAAGAAACACAAACACCATAATTAAACACATGTTCAAACAGTTCGTTCGTTGAAACAGCCTAATTGCTATATGAATGATTCTTGGTCCCATCAGTCCCCGGACCGAGTCGCCTTAGAGTTGCGTCTTGGGGGAACCCCCCCACTCCTGGACCGCCAGTTGCGGGGCAGTGTCTCCGAGGGCCGTCAGGGACGCTCAGTGTGGCGGGTGATCCGATCGATCAAGAAAGAGCCGGTATTGATCTATCTATGTTGATCTATTTGATCTATCTACTTGAACTTGTTGACCTATCACCATATAGTAATACCATATATATATATATATTGCCGGTATTTGTTGGTCTATCCGACTATCTAGAAATCTATCAATCTGTATATCACTTCCCATGCTACTAGGCGCATCACAATGTGCTCAGATTTGAAAGACTGCACAAAAACTGTGGGACCTGGGAATGAGAATTCGAAGGGGAAGCACCAAAACACCGGTTTAATGACCGGTGCGGCGGATAACCCATCACCGGTCACGAAGTAGGAAACAGGTGAGGACCGGTGAGGACCGGTGAGTCCGGAACTTCCTGAGGATGGATGTGACAAGTTGGATGGCCGTCACATTTTCAGTGTTGCAATGATTTGCAATTCATGCTTTATAAAGATTTAAACAAAAGGACTCACCAGCCTATATGTCCTCTGTTTCTCGGCCTTGGTTCTCTTAGGTGCCCAAACTCTGCCTACCGAGGCTGTGAGCAGTTCACCCAGGATGAGACCCTCACCGCCTGCGAGGCCTGTGGCGGTACTTGGTCCGGGGCCCCGGCTTCATCGTGTGGGTGCGCTTCGTGCCCAACGGTGCGAAACTCCAAGCAGACTGGAATCCTTTTGGAATCTGGTACACATCTTTTTTCACACTCTTTTGGGAGAAAACCAACACAACTCAACCCATTCACGTGTTACTTTTTGGAACTCGGGGAACTTGCGGCCATTGTTTAAGGACCTTAGAGTATGGGAATTGCCTATAATTGCCTCAAGATTTGGTTGGTTGGGTCATATGCTGGATCCAGTTCTTCCACCACAATGTGTATAAGGTTGTGACTGCACTTTGATGCCCCTCGTCCCGGAACGAAAACATATGTTATTATGTTTTGTTTCATCCGCTTTGAGGTTTGACTCATCCCCATATCTCCCAAGATCTGTACAAACAGTTCCTTTCCCATCCTCGTCCTTGATCCTTACAACGACCAGATTCTTGGTTTTGTGATGAAACTGGCACTTGCTAAAGCCGCAATTTCTGGTTGCCACGGTTTTTGGACTGGAATCAAACATCATGACACCATTTCTGCAAATCGGATTGATCACCAACCACTTCCTCAGCGCCTAAAAGGAAGGCGCGGATTCCGAGGATGTCCATCTTCAAGTTCCGCTCCTATGGCGCGTGGGTCGAAGGCCGTTGGCAGAAGTCGTACCAATGGAGCCTCGTCTCGTACCGGACGAGTTCCGCTCCCATGAAGATTCAGAAGGAACGCAATCACATGCCCGGTCTAGGGTCCAGAAAGAACATGCATCACAGAACAAGCGATGAAGACTTGAGACGAACCAGTTACAGTCTTCTTCGGCTTTGCCATGTCCAGACATGAGCAGCTTCTTCATTTAGTTGAACGTGTCTTGAAGTCGGTTCCAGCAGGCAAACCAATAGTATACATGAAAAATGGGAAGACATAAACATCTAGGTGATGGTTTCGGATATTTTTATTTTCAACCCTTACTTGGGGATGATTAGACCCTCTGACTAATATTTTTCAAGTGGGTTGAAAACATCAACCAGACATACATTTGGACCCGACAAAATCACGATTGAATGATTGTTGCGAGTCCACCGGTGTCCACACGCCACCTCCATCTAAGTCCTATATACGTAAACACAGCTGGGCATTGAGAAGGGAATCCTAGAGGATGTGTTCCTTTCTTTTTGGGGGGGTTGTTGCCGTTGCGACGTTTTGGAGGGGATGAGTGGCTATATGAGAAGCTGTTATTTCATGGACGTTGACTAATGCCTTGGGCTGAGAGGATGCCACTAATGACCTGGGAGTCTCTTGGTGTTCTGCCGCGTTTGACCTGGGACAGTCCTTTGTGTGTTTTTTTTCCAAAAGTGTGTGAGTGTGCTTGCACCAAAAGCATGTGAGGGTGACGTGGTACTCCCATCCTTCCCATGTGGAGTTCGGAAGGGCGCTTGGTCC